CTCCTTGAAGAATTTCATGTAGAGGTGCGTTCTGCATGTTGAAAATGTAGCTTGAAATCTGAGGAATGTTGAAATGTCGGACTTTGTTGACGGTGATTTTAACACAAAAGTTAAACTTTTCTCCACTTTGATAAATGTAAACTAATGCAAACCTTACAATTAAATTATTAATTCCTTCGTATATTATTGGTTTAAGTTGTCGAAAATTAATATTTCAATTGTAAGGTTCGCATTAGCATACATTTATAAGAGTGGAGAAAAGTATCTATAGCCATTATGGCGAACTAATAAAGTTTGAAAATATCCTATCTGTAACCCCGAACTGCTCGACCGTAGGGCTTCAAAACCGGCGCCAATCGATTCCTCGTGGCCAAAAACCCCAGACCTCCAAGTTTACCGGAGTTTATTAATTCTGGGGTGATTTTTGACTTGGCAACCATTCCTCGTATTATAGTATAAGATAAAAACTTTGAAAACACACTCTTTTTCAAGCTCTTAAAATATATCAAATGGATTATTTCGAAAACAGGTTGGTCTTAAAAGCATTCAGTTTGTTTATTAAATCTTAAAGTGTTTAGCTGAATTAAGAAAAGGCACACTAAAAAAACTAAATAAATAATAGAGCGTTCGTAAACTCGAAAGATGTTAAGGCTCAATGTTGGAAGGTTCTCAACGAAGAGATTCTTGTAAATAACATTGTCGCAACTTCTAAATTTAATATTTTTACTTCTGAAATCACAATTGAAATTTTTTTTGAGCAATATAAACACGCCTGAATGTTCTCCTTCTAACTTTGCCCCATTTTCCTTTTAACTTTGCCTTTCCTTTTTTAAAATTGCCCACAAAAAGAAACTAACGTATGAAAAATACCGAATTTAAAAAAGTGGTAGTAAATTTATTTGTATCGTTCACATTAACGTTAAAACAAATGTTACAACTTTCATGATTAGAAAAATAAATTCGAATAATGAAATGTTTTCACTTTTTTACCGTCTTTTAAGAAGACGCTAGGCTAGGAATGAGTTAATACATTTGACAAGATTAAAGATAAATGAACTTAAATAACTGAAACTTTTATTTTCAGAATGTAATACTACAGTTCTAATCATAAATACCTATATTCATTAATACAGTATGGTGCGTAAGGCTGCTTCATTTATTTTATATAAATTCTGATAATGAAGCCATTATGTTTTTATCATTTATCTTTTTGGGAGGAAAAAGAAAGTTTCCGAAGATTATAATGCTGAGAGCTAACTGTTTTTTGAACTAAAACTAATTAAACATTCTAATTTGACATATCTGGATTAGCTGTTCCCTTCTTCCGTGGGCCGTAGTAAAATTATCAAACGTTGACTAGACCGTGATGATAAAAAGGTTGAGGAACACTGCTATATACTAGTTAATAGGTATTGAATAAATGTAGTGGTAGCTACGCTACATTACTCTCCCACCAGAATTTTATTTGGGATAGAATTTTATNACCGTGATGATAAAAAGGTTGAGAAACACTGCTATATACTAGTTAATTGGTATTGAATAAATGTAGTGGTAGCTACGCTACATTACTCTCCCGCCAGAATTTTATTTGGGATGGAATTTTATGAATAGATATCAGTGTACGATTTATTGCTGTTTTTAAGAGAGGCCGGGAGTGCTGTATTAAGATCGCCAGATTTTGATCTGTGATTTAATGAGCTGTGTTAAGATCACAGTTGTGTGCGTGATCACTCATCTGTTGCTATTATCAGTGTTAACAGCTTCCCGTTGTGTGCAATCGACACCGAGCAGCAAAAGCGCGAGAAGGATTACGTTGCAATCACAAATAGAAAGTCAACTGTTCACTGTGTTCCATGCTCAAATCAAAATGAATGCGACTATCAAGATAGGCGTGTTCAGTTCATGTCCGAAGGCGTCCAATGCGAGGAGTATGTTAACGAAAGTTTCGGAGTTATCTATCAAAACGAACCTTAAGACAGAATCGAGTTAACATGTTTTATATACTTGAGAATAGGAATTGAATTATTGGTACAAAAAATATTGGTTTAAAAAAATTTGTGTTGGAAAAAAAAGCTTCTATGAAACGCATTTTTTTTCGCTGATAGTAAGTGATTTCAATACTTAATTATATTTTAATTATCAGAGTTCAACTAAATTCGGTAACAAGACAAAAAAATTTGCCTCCTAAATTTCTTATTAAAAATTTTCTGTTTACTTATTAAAAATGGAAGACTTTT